ACGTTGTATGTCATTAAGTATGTTGTACAACATTAGGTACGTTGTACGTCATTAGCTACATTGTACGTCATTGGGCACGTTGTACGCGATAATGTATGTTTTCAGGGCCATACCATGTGTTTTGTCAAGTGGGAAGCCGGCTACTGCACTCCTCCCCTTTGCCTGTTCTCCTTCGTCTCAGTGAAAAAGTGAAAGGGGCGTTTTTCTCTGTGGTTGAGGAGGAAAACACAAATAAGTTTTGTTTCTGCTACGCCAGCTGGTTTTGATGTTTGTGAACTTATGAGTACCTTACATGTAAAATATGTGAACTAACTTACCTGTTACACACCTGGAACTTATGCCTTATTAGAAACATCGAAATATGCAGAAAAATTTGTACTGGCCATCATATTACATTGTACTTGAAACTTGTTCAAAAATTACCGGTATGTCAAACTTATGTGACTTACACCAGCGTGTTTGATATTTTTATTTCCATATGTCGGCATAAATTCTCTAAATCGTTATAGTGCGACAGGGCTTTCAAATCTTCTCAGATATATTTCTATTGCCACATATACCCTGGTACCAACACTTCAAAATTCCCTAGAAGGTCAAAATAAAAGTAAACTTGAGTGAGGGGTTCTCAGTCGCTTTGTTTCTTCGTCTCAAGCGCCTTTCATCGGATGTCATTTCAGTGGCAACACTGCATGTTGACAGCCATGTTAGTTATCTGGAGGGAGCGGATGTGCAAGACTGGTTCATGTTGTTCAGAGGTCATGATGGGATGGCATGGTTCCTGGAGTCAGACACAACCCAGAGCAAGACCACTTGAAGGATCACCATGAGCCAGAATGAGGGACTCAGGCCGGACACCCCGCCACAGTCAGGGTCCTTCTCCTGGCACCAAGCAGGGGAAAACACAGAGTTAACATTTAAGAAAAAAGAAAGAAAAAAAAATACGAAAAAGATTTGAAAGTGGCTTTTTGATTAAAAAAAAAAAAGAAATAAAACAGGAAGAGCTCCATTTTTCTTGCTTTCTTCACAACACAAAATTTCACTTACTGTATCGACTTTGGACATTTAGCATTTTTTCCCTTTTCTAACAAATACCACAATTACAAAAATGGTAAAAATGACTATTTAAACAGACATGCACATACTTGAACCAACTTATGAGATCAAACCATATTAATGCCAGATCTTTGTGCTGTTTTTGGTTATTCTAATAAAAGTCAAAATCAGGAGAAAAAAGTAAAAATATAACATTTTGATGCTTTAGATGTGTTTAAGGTGTTATTTCACAAGAGATCCCCATTATAGGCAAACCAAACTAACTAAAAGTGACTTACCATATATATATATATATATATATATATATATATATATATATATATATAATGAAGCATTGGCTATCAAAAAGTATAGATATCGCACTAAAAGAATCCCTGTAAATATTAAAATTGACAGGAACTTGAAATGTGCTACAGAATGGTTCAGATATTTTGGTCCTTAAAGCTAAATGTTTGTCAGATTTTTTAACATATGGCTATTTTTGATTTGTGTAAAAATTATTCAGTTGGATTAGTTAAACTTTAGGGTTACTCAGAAAATTAAGGTTTTATTCTTTTAAGGTTCACAATTAAAATTGAAATATTGAGATTAAAGTGGAAACATTGACAGAAAAAAGTTGCAATTTTTGAAGAAAAAAAAATGTAGAATTGACCTTTAAGACTAAGGTCAGAGGAAGTAAACCTGACTGTTTTTATTGTGGAATCGCTGATTCAACCAACACACTATTGCTTTCCTGTTTAAAGTTTTTTTCCTTACGTTTTTTTAACGTAACCATCGATCAAAAAACTAACTAGAACTTGTAATCGACTTTACAGTTATGGGTTTAAGTTTGTGTAACATTAATAATTTGAAAAATTACCTTATATAAACGTTTTTTCTCTCTTTGAAATGAATGGGGAACTTTCTAAATCCACAAAACCCCTTTGTTCTCTTCAACAAACATGCTTCAATTTTACCTTTCGGCTATAGTTTTGCTTTAATTTAGCTTTTAGATGCAGTTTAATCAGTCTCAGCTTTTCACTTTTGTTTTATTAAACTTAACCTTTAGCTTTTTAGCTAATTGTAGCTTTTGCACTGATCCTTTTGATTTAATTCATGTTCACTTTTGACAAACTGCAGCAAAGTCTTTCAGCACTCATCATTCATGCTGCATGTTCATAAAACATGTCTGAATATTCTGTAGGCTGCAGAAGTTTAGAGAATCTATTAGGATGTTTTTGGAAAAAAAAATCTCGACATTGCAACTTTTTTCCGTCAAAATATGTCCACATAAATCTGAAGGTTTCAACTTTAAACCCAAACCTAAAACTTAAAATAAATAAATAACCCTTTCTCATATATTTATTTTGAACTTTAGTGACTTTATTAAATAGCACAGGTATAGCTTCTACTGGTATTTTATAACCAACTAGAAGTAATCTCTGTTTACAAGATTGTCATTATATAAGTAAAAAAACATTTTTCCTTTGTAAGAATTAATTTATCTCATTATTATGTGGTTTATTTCAATACAGTCATTAGGAAAAATGCCAAATAGTTTAAAAATTGCATTTTTTTGTCTCCTTTAAGATGTACTTTGTGTGAAAATGTAAAGCCCAAGCATTGCAGGACATTAAAGCTAAACAGGAAATCAGTCATTTGGAGCCAAGGAAGGCTCAAATCTGAGAAAAAACAAAATATATACATCTAGGTAAGAAAAACCCAACCATTATGTATGATCTGATACGCTCGGAGCATGTGGAGAGCGGGAGGAGGAATGTCTTGAAATTTTCTTGGCACGGGGAAATAAAGTTGAGAAGCATTCAAAGAGACGTATGAAAATCTGGATGCAAATGAGAGGTGAGTGATCTGTTTTTGCTGGTGTCTGGATACATCAGAAGTCACCAGAGGCACAGGAGACTCCGTAGACGGAGCATGATGGATGAGGACAGATACAAAGAGCAGGGCTTGAAGTTCAAAGTCAGGTGAGACGGGGAATATGTTGAGGAGAGACAGGCAGAGACAGGGAGGCGAAGTCAGACAGTAGTATAATACGAGAGAGTGGCAGGTGATGAGGACAAGTGTGGGAAAACAATGGAAAGAGACACGGGGCAGTGGAACAAAGGAGGGATTTCAAATAAAGAGAGAAGGTGAGAAAAACTAGCTGAGACTAAAATAAGGGACTTAAATGACTTTAACAATAAAACAATGAGAGAGAGAGAGATGGGACTGACCCGAGACAGCACATGAACAGTGGCAGCAGAAACATGAGCAGAGAGGAAGCCAGTGGGGATCCAGAGCTACTTCGGCACATAACCTCATCCTGCCCGCCAACAGACAATCACAAGGCAGAACAGAGAAAAACAAGAGAATCATGCAGCAAACCGTGGACAGCGTTAGGTTATAAAGCAGACAGAAGCAGAAACGTTAGCTCGGATAGAGAGGCATTAAAGACAAGTTAGTGTGTGGGCGAGTGTTTGTGTGTGCAGGCGTAGAGGAGCTAAAAAAAATGAAGACTATAGAATCAAAACAAACAAAGCTTTCGAGCACCAAGGTTTCACACGCAAAGATTCTGCGCAGCTCATGATGTTTGTTTAGCTTGGTGATTCATAATTCGAGGAACTGTTTATCTTTGCATGGGAAGCCTTCGTGTACGCAGCTTTTGAGGAAAAAACACAAAAAAAGTGACATGTAAATTTATTTGCGATGGAAAGATGCCATAGGTGGGATTATTCACCGATAGGCAGCTGGAATCAAACCCTGACCTCCGTTTCACTGCTGTCTAACAGGAGGATGTTGCTGAATGTTGCTTTAACAACGTTTTCCTGCTTCAAGTTTTATCTGTGGATGTTGTGCAATCAAATAACTTCTGAATACGTTGTGCTGTTTTACCCATTTATATGTCAAAACAGTCAACTCGATCAGCAGTAGTGCTATAACTTGTAGTATAATCTTTTAAACTTTTGGAATAATTCAACTTTATGTATTAATAAATTAATTAAGATTTATTCAGTTCCTTTAAAAACTTTTCTGTCAGTACTTTATTTTCAGCTAGCTTTGTTTTTCTCTTCTTTATCTTTTAGCGACAGTTTAAGATTATTTTGCCTTTTAGCAATGTCTTTGGTCCAGTCAGTTTTAGTCATTTGCTGCAGTTTTACTTTTAGCTAAGGTTTTGCTCATTTAGCTTTTGGCTACATTTTTGCTAATTTAAGTTTTTAGTTGTAATGTGGACAAATTAAACAATTTTGTTCAATTTTGTATTTATTACAATTCTGAATGACAATAAAGTTTTATTTTATATTATATTATTAACAAAAATGGTTAAATCATGTCATCTGGACCTGTTTCTTAAAGTGTAGAAACGTTTCGTCCCCCATCTAGAGGACTTAGTCAGTCTGCGGCCTGTCATCCAGATCTGTCCCATACAAAACACATTACATTATTATAATTTTTATTTTTAAAATTAGGGTTTTACCTATGGTTTTGCTGATTTTAGCCTTTAGCTATTGTTTTGCTGATTTTAGTCAATATTCTGTACGTTTTAACTCAAATTTCAACAAATTTCAGTGATGTAATTCGTCATTCACATGTGCGCGTGTGTTTAAATGTGTTGGACACCTTTGTCTGGAGAAATTGAATTTTATGTTTTATGTCCCGCCCAACTACAAGTTTTCAAAGTACGCAAACAATAACTTACATCCTCGTTTTTATCAAAACAAAACGAAGGTCCTTTCCTGTAGCGAGGCTCAAGAGCCATCTGACAGGGATCGGGCCCGTCGGCTGGAAGAGTCGGGTCAGGATCATGACACAACCGAAGCATGAGTCTGCATTTAAGATTAGCTGCAACAAAATGGGTACTTTCTTCAAAGGACACTGATTACAGAAAATCGTCACATGTAGGAGATTTGCTTTGTAAGATTGCTCAGTTCCTCGACAATGCATTTCCAAGAAGCTTCTTCTATAATTGATGACAGCTCGGTGTGTTTGAAAGTGCATGGATTTGTTTGTAAGCTGTTCAGCAGACTGATCTCACACAACCCATGTGCTGCACAGACACACCAGCAAATAGGAAGTCTGTGCCAATTTATAAGCTGTGGCTAAAATAAATACCCATTGAATTGAATGGGAGAATAAAGTAGTGAATATTTGATCTTTATCGTTTGAGCTGATGGTTACAGACCTTAACGTCTAGTGTGTGTCTATCTTGTCAAATGTTTAAATTTGCCAAATAAGAAGCACAGATGCTCTGTCAGATGACGGGAGTGTGTGGGGAAAAGGATACATTGCTGTTCATCTTGTATTAATGGGGTGAAATCAAACGCTCTCATGCCGTCCTCCTTCTCACTAATGATAAAGACCAGGTTGGTCTTGTGCAGCTTTTCGGCGTGGTACATCCTGGAAGAAGGAGCACATACACAAGAGACACAAGAGCAATGTGTTGACACAGGAGCTGGAGATCCCGTTTCAATAACAATAAAAAAATGCTCACAGGAGATGCAGGAAGTTGAGTATTTAACCAGAAAGCAGACAGTAATCCTGATTTGCTTCTTTTATTTATTTTTTAAAGCTAATTTTTTTTAATACAGCAATTTAAAGCAGAACATTTCATACTGTGAGATGTGTTTCTGAGCATGACTGTCAAACACTACCACATAAAAGGCTCAATATCTGTAAAACTGACAGATAGAGACATTTCTGTTGGATGACGTCGGTTTACTGTGGAGGCCATATTGAATTTATTTGACATAGAAAGTAAATCAGTTGCAAATGTGCAATAGTCCCTCGCTACTTCGCGGACTCGCTCTACTATCGCGGTTTTTCAAATTGATTGGACATGACACACAATTGGCTGAGTGAGAGAGATGATCTACATGATCTGCATGGAATTTTTATTTAAAATGAATTATTTTTAATTATTTAGCACCTGCTGCACCTTTGTGCAGCACATACTGCAGGATAAACTTCCTGCTGCAGCTGATCAGCTGATCTCTGTGCAGCACGGAGAAGTGGTCGTGGCCAAGAACGCTTGCAGGTGGCAAAGAGCAGAGGAGGCGGGGAGCTGAAATTATGACATTCTTTGCTCTTTCAGAGCGTTTAGAAACATTGTTTAGAATATTGCAAGAGTGTGGGAAGGGTTTAAAACACCTTTATATATATATATATATATATAT